GAGAGAGAGAGAGAGAGAGAGAGAGAGAGAGAGAGAGAGAGAGAGAGGAATCCTGACACGTGGCAGTTCACAGCACACTGCTGTTGCCACGTGGCACTTTGCCTAATAAAGAACTCCAACGAAATAGGGAGGAGGAGGAGGAGAAAGGAGGAGGACGAGGAGGTGGAGGAGGAGGAGGAGGAGGAGAGAAGAAGACGAAGGGAGGAGGAGGAGGAGGAGAGAAGAAGACGAAAGGAGGAGGAGGAGGAGAACGAGGAGGACAAGGACGAGAGAAGAAGATGAAAGGAGGAGGAGGAGGAGGAGGAGGAGGAGGAGAGGAAGAGGAGGAAAGGAGGAGGAGAGGAAGAAGAAGAAGACGAAAGGAGGTGGAGGTGGAGGAGAGGAAGAAAAAGAAGAAGAGGAAGAAAAAGAAGAAGAGGAAGAAAAAGAAGAAGAGGAAGGAAGGAGGTGGAGGCGGATACACCACGACGGGACAGGACCTTGACGGGCGGCGACGATGGGGAGGGCTGCTCGACGGGGCAGGTCGACGGGGAGTGATGACTCGCGGGCTTCAAGACGGCAGCAACGGCAACAACGACCGACGACGGGGCACCTCGATGACGACGACGGGGCACAGCTCGATGGCGATGATGGGGCAGCTCTACGCAGAGCGGCGACTGGCGGGCTTGGAGACGGCAGCAAAACCGTGGGCTTCGGAAATGCAGCGAAGCGGGAATACAGCATTCGAATTCGAACGCGGCTTCGTAGGCGACCAGGGGGGCGAATCAAGGCTACGGCGGCAGTAACGCGGGGGGAATTTCGCGCGGGGGGGCGGGGAGGCTGCCACTGGCCAAAAAACTCGAAAAAAGGCCTCCCCCCCCGCCCGCGCAAAATTGCGCTGGGCCTGCCCGGCGCCAAACCGGGGGACCCAACCGGCCGGGCGGCCCGGATTTTAATACAGAAAAAGAATGCTTTCTTCAAGGTGCCTCAGGCTGTCTGCTCTTTTCTTCACTTGTTTCGCATAGAGCGCTAATGTGTAGCTATAAAAAATAGATGCTGATAGGTATATGTGATGACAATATAAACAATATATATATACTATATAGTATACACTCATGGTGTCGCATGCCTCAATTTATTTAGATATCGTCGACTTTGTCAATGCTCGTATGGGAAATCCAGGACTGCTGGATATAGAAGAAGAAACGAGCCCCGTGTACCAGTGCTCCCCGCTGTGCTGCAGACTTGCAAATGGCTGTGAAGACGGGACGATCTTGGTCAAGAACGTTAAATGCCAACCTTAGATCATGACGGTCACAAAAAAAAAAAAAAGAAAAAAAAAAAAAGATCATGACGTGACTGTCCCGATCTTGCTACCATGTTCCCCTGAGCAAAATGGACCTTGATCATGACTGTACAAGCCCTCTTTATGGTTGTGGATTTGTGTTTGGGGGAGAAGGGAGACAGTAGCCGAGCGAATTCATAAGCCATCTGACGCCTGGCTGTTTCAGTGTTCAAGCATGACAATCGGGAAAAACTGATTCCTCGCACTTGGGCCTCGCTGCAATACTAAGCAAGTGTGTGCAAAATGGAAAATGTGTCTCCCACCAGAATGTGGGAAGTTGCACCCGCCATCATTTTTTGTCTTTTTCACGTTTGGCGAGTGGTGCGGCAAGGCCCTATGCCTGCATTACTTTGCATTGTGGCTTGCCACACCTGCCTCTTTGGCCATTGATGCATATGTGCCAAGATGATGGCAAGATTTGTGCTATGGACCAGTGGAGCTCATCGAGCTCATCGGATCGGCCTTTGGCTGATTGGGATCTATCAGAGGCGGGGAATCGTGTGCAGGGAGTAGAGGGCCTACAGGTGGGTGGGGAGAAGTTGTAAGTTTGTTTGTATTTACGTGTGGGTGTCAGTGCCTCCCATAAGTACCCCTTCGGGTGTGCTCTCCCAAAAGCCTTTAACCCACCTCGTCAAAATCAGGCCTTTGCACAGGGCCTTGGAGGAAAAACCTTAGTGGGGGACCCTAAGAGGGGGGGAGGGGAGGGATCTTCAGAGCAATCGTGTGGTATGCAGAGGTGTCATCTGGAGCCTTGGGGGACTAGGAATGGACCGGCCTTGAGGAGATTGTGGGGTGGGCCTGTACGGGACCGTGGGGTTGCCTGGGCCAGCGGTTGATTCTGGGAGGCGTTGAGGTGATTGGGGACATTAGGGGAAATTGGGAGCTTGGGGGTGCTCTTGGGGCCCGCCAGCGAGGGGGGCTGCAGGCAAAAGTGCCCTCACAGGTTTGTTGGTTGTGCCCTTCTTTGTTTGAGGTGTAGAATTAGAACCCCCTTTTCTGTTTTTTCTTCGTTCCATACAAGCCTGTTAGCGAACAATGCGATCTGACACACACACACACACACACACACACACACACACACACACACACACACACACACACACACACACACACACAGATTTGAGTCGGTGAAAGTCCGTCAGAACAGTCCAGCACAGTCATGCTTTTTTTTTGTGGAGTTGTGTATAGCAAACATGACAACGCACACAGGTCCCATTTCCATTTCCATTACAGAATCATACAGATTCAATGTACAGAACTGAGACTTACTTCTGGATTGCTGATGATGGCTCTGCTCCATTGCTGTGTTGCTGCAGGAAGGGACATGCTTATGAAAGGGGCAGGCAGGGATGGCACCTTTCTCTTTAGTATCCTCAACTTCCTTCCTGATCACTCTGTGTGCTTGCTGCCACTCCTCTCATTTCATCCTCTCCTTTCTCCACCTTAACAGTCTAACCCTCAAAGTTCAAACTATACTATGTTTGAAACCAAGCTACTGAGCTACCAAACTTGAAGTCCTAAGCTGATCAACTCCACACTGGGAAGTGCTGCTGCCATCATAAGTCACGCACACACACACACACACACACACACACACACACACACACTCTTACACACTGTATATTGTCACCTATCTATCGACTAAAACAGCGCACAGTACCGCACACACACTATATAATGTGGCGAGCCTTGTACGTGAGAGGCACGGTGAAGGGGGAGTCGAAAGAATGAATGAGAAAAATGAATGGTTTCAGTGTGCTCTTCATGTTTGTCTTTTGCATTTTTATTTTTATCATTTGTTTCTCAAAGTGCGCTCTTTTAGTTCATAGATACGTGACAACTTGTTTATTTGTATTAATTTATTGTTTAGCTTTTTATAACAGTCACATAAAATTTGAGGGTGTGGCAAGAGAAGCACGCTCAGTTGTGTCAAAATTTCAAAAAACTGTAATTGTTGTGATGCGACTGCCCAATTCAAACTCATGGAAATGAGATTGGCCCACATGAAGCTCATGCAGTGTGGGCATGGTAGTTGTTGTTGTGGCATTATGCAAAGGCAGAGGGGCTCAAGTAAGCCAGAAGAGATTGATGCTGGATCATTCAGAAATTTCGATGACGCCCTTGACTCGGAACAATCTCTCACACACAGACAAATACCATGCTTGGGTCAATTCAGACTTCCTAATGGAGAAGTGCTTTGTCGGCATGCTTGATGTCGACGATAGTCACTGATGAACTTGCTGAGGCTTAAACCTCGAGCACACAGCCCCAGCCTTGCAGAAAGTTTTTGTCGCCAAAAGCAAAACTCGGAGGGGGCGCGCAGCAGCATGGAGCGCCGTTGAAAAACGAAATCTGTGGCCTCCGAAGTGGTCCGGGTTCCACGCTGACACCCGCGGGCCTATGTATGGTGTACTGGTGCCTGAACGTCCTCCTCCTACGGACGGCATCCACCTTCAGAACAAGATGGGAGAAGTCTGGTTGCACGCAGAACCGCAACAGCAGAGCAACATGGAGGAAGTGACCGATCATCCACTATGGTAAGAAGACGGTGTCGGTGACAATGTCAGCGACTCAGCAGCCAAGCGTACCACTAGAGTTTTTGGTTGACGCCATCGTTTGATTGGTTACCGAAGCAGAGGCATTGGACACGTCTGTGGCAGAAGCCTGTATAGCTGTGCCTGCAGTGCTGAAAGAGACACCGGAGGTGGCACTGGTCTTTTGCTGTACTACCAACCATCTGGCTATGGCATAAATGGGAGGTCTACACCGCCGCTGCAGAGGCATTGGACACCTCTGTGGCAGAAGCCTGTATAGCTGTGCTTGCAGTGCCGAAAGAGAGACCGGAGGTGGCACCGGTCTTTTGCTGTACTACCAACCATCTGGCTATGGCATATTTGTGAGGTCTACACCGCCGCGGCACAGCGAAGACTGGTACGTAGCCACCAAGCCCTCAGATCGCCTATTGGGTAAGGCATGCTCTCTTTTGTGTAGTGGTGATATGCCACTAAAGACTGGTCTCTCGAAGGAGAGGTCCGTATGCGAAGGTGGTTGCAGTGCAGCGTAGTTGATGTGTGGGGTGACAGATGCTGAAGAGTTAACCGTCGATTACCGGGGTGTGAAAGCTAACCTTGATGTAGCAGCAGGTGGAGCGCTCTATTGACCATTAAAATGATTAAATACCATTTCATAACGAAAAGGGGTGTGTCGAAAGGGGCACATGATGCTGACCATTAATTGAGTGTAGGGCACTGTAGGTTTGGTTTTGCTCAATGTGAAGGTGAGTTGTAGGCAGTTTGTACACAGGGGTGCATACCATTTCATAACGAAAAGGGGTGTGTCGAAATGAGCACATGCTGACCATTAATTGAGTGTAAGACACTGTTGCAGGTATGGTTTTGGGTTTTGCTCAGTGTGAAGGTGGGCTGTAGGCAGTCAGTGCATGGCGGTGCTTATATCACTTGACAGACGGGTACTAGCAATGGAGCAGAATGTGATCAACAGACAGCGGATAGCTCAGATTATGATCAACGGACAGCGGACAGTTGGCACAGTGGAGCTGTCTTGGGTAGGTAGTGTGGCTGAATGGAGTGTTGTTGCTGTGAATGACCAGTCTGGCAAAAAGCTTGGTGGACAAGATGCGGAAGCTTGATGAAGCAGAAAGGAGGTTACCTATGAGATCTCTTACACCTTAAAGCTTTTTCATTACTCAACCTTAAAGCTGCTTTGTTGGCAGCGTGAGACTATGTAAAAAAGTTCGAAAAACAATAGCAGCCCTGTCATAAAGCTGCTTTGTTGGCAGCGTGAGACTATGTAAAAAAACAATAGCAGCTCTGTCAACCTTTATTGCATCAAGAGGAGGAGAGGAAGTCAGCGAAGGGCACTCAGTCATTGAAATGGGGTGCGGAATTTACAGGTGGAAAAAGTCGATAGACCGAGTGATGCAACACCTTTAAAAGTTAAAACCAGTTTGCAAGAGTAAGGTAGCGGAAATTGGATTCTTTTACGTAGCGAAAGTGGAGTTGGGTGTCATCAAGACAGTTGTTAGTTGTGTTGGGTGTAATTAAGACAGCTTTCAGTGGGAACTAAACACTCTTACTGGGAGTTAAATAGAGAAGAGGGGACTCGTGTGGCCATCGCAGCTAAGGACCAAGTCAGGCTTCATTTTCTTTTGAATGGGTTGTTTGCAGCTGTGGCCAGACTTCATTCGATAGCTTGTCTGGAGAGAGAGAGAGAGAGAGAGAGAGAGAGAGAGAGAGAGAGAGAGAGAGAGAGAGAGAGAGAGAGAGAGAGATATGGATAATATATATATATATATATATATATATATATATATAGAGAGAGAGAGAGAGAGAGAGAGAGAGAGAGAGAGAGAGAGAGAGAGAGAGAGAGAGATGGATAATTTATACTTTTTTTTTTTTTTAACAACATGCTGGTGTCAGGAAATTGAGAGCGCCTGGTTGACAGCCAAGTAGCAGGTTGAATGGAGTATACTTAGTCGTGCTGCACAGAAGTGTGTTCGTTGAGGAAGGAAAAAAGGTGCGGCACAACATGGTGTTTGGTGAGGAAGGCGGGGGGGCTTGGGAGGATGGGGGAGCAGGGGTCCCAAAGGCGAAGAGATTGACCTCTACTATGAGCCCCATGTGGGAGGACAGAGGTCACCTACTTCCAAGGTCACAAACCTCTGGCTTGCGCATATCGTCCACATGTTAACCTTCAGAAAAGATGGAATGAGCTATAGCTGGCTGGCAGGTTATGCCTCTCAAAGATGGTGGCCATGCATTAATGAATGGCATTCTTGGGTGTGTCCCCTTGGGTGGTGGCCTGATAGGTGGTGCCTTTCACTCAGTTTTACTTCTATTCGCAGGTGGCCTTATGGGAGTATGTGCCCTTGGGTAGGGCACTGACAGGTGGTGCCTCTAATCTTCGACGAACGATGATCTCCAAGGACGAGATGCTTTTGAGGGGAGTAGGAGAGGGGGGAGTCTGCATTGCAGGGATGACTGTCAAAGGGGCACAACAGAAAGAATTTCCAGGAGCATTTTTTTTTGCGTCCTTTTAGGAGTTAATTGCAGTAGTTACCACTGTCGCCTTCATCCGAATAAAATCGCCCAATCATTAGTGTTGTTGGATTCTGTGCGAGTTTCAATCTAGATTCTAGATACATCAATAATGATTGAGCGTTCTATCTTGGTGAAGACCATAGGGTTGACCCGCGGAGTAGGTCATGGGGAGATACCTCCGTTCACGGGCTGGCCTTGGGAAGGCAGTGGAATCCGGCCTTAAGTCAAGAGCAAAACTTTGAAAGGTATGTGCCACCCCCATTTATTGAGGGAGAGGGATGGGAAGGGTCCTCGCCTTGGGAAGGTAGTGGAATCTGGCCTTAAGTCGAGAGCGAAAACTTTGAAAGGTCTGTGCCACCCCCATTTACAGAGGGAGAGGGATGGGTAGGGTCCTCTTTTGTTTCTTCTCGTCTTTGTCCAGCCAAAGGATATCCTTATCCTTGTCTGCCTCTACGGGTTACCCAAAAGGGAATCTTATCCTTATCTACCTCTTTAGGTAACCCAAAGGGCAACCTTATTGGAAGACGGGCAACCCTGGTAAGCAGCAACAAATGTCAGCAAACTGTAGGTTGAGAGTATCAACTGATGGGTTGACGCGCTCGAGAGTCGGGGAGGAATGGAGGACTAGAAATAGAAACTTGAGGATATGAACAAGCACGACAGAAAGAGCTTCCAGGAGCATTTTTTTGCGTCCTTTTAGGAGTTAATTGGACGAGGTTATTGCACTTGTATTGGAGCGAACTCTTGTTGTCTTCAAAGAAGCGATAGAAGGAAGGTGCCGACATGCGACGTAGGCGAACGGGTCCTTTGATTTGGCGGCCAAGGGAAAGTTACCAGCGAGTTGCAGGGAATTGAGGGTTAAAGTGGAAGTGGTGAGTATGGATGAAGAAGGTCAAGAATGGAGAAAAAATATATTATGAAGTTGTGTGGAGTGTCGTTGAGCAACTAGCGAAGTGCCTCTTCAACCGTAACCTTATACGAGTCTGCATGTTGCTTTGCTGTTGGATGTGCCAGGGTTTTCTTGGAATCAAGTTGCTATTTATGTCCAAGTCAGTACGAAGAGGTTTGCAAGCACTTTCTGGTTATCTTCCGGAGTAAAGGCTTCTTCTTCTCTACCAGGAAGTGTGTTGGGTCTTTAGTCAACTTGGGGCATTCTTCCCAGTGCGCCCTAAGTAGACTAGGGTTGAGTGTCTAGTTGGGGATGGTGGGATCTCACCTAGCCATGTTCTCCTGTCTGCGATGTTAAGTTTGAGGTCTTTGTTGGTTGAGGTCTTTGTTGGCTGTCCTTAAATTGCTGGTTGGCTAGAGTCGATTATCAAGCATATTTGAGTAGTGGAGTCGTTGATTGATTTCGTCGTGGGGTAGATGTCAATTGTAATTAGGTTTGACCAAAAGTCATGTCCTTCGACCAGTAGACCCTTCTCACCTTCTCTGTCATATGGCGGCCGCCGTTGTGGATGATTGTTTATCCATACGATCGACTCAATGAATGATTTCACCACTTGGGTGGAGGATTGTTTATCCACACGACCGACTCAGTGAATGATTTTACCACTTTGGTATGTTTGACAACCGACTCGGCCATTTGACTGTTCTTCTCTAAGGACATCTGGCCAGGGTCAGCTCCCTGTGAGGTTGGCATGGGTGTTGGGGATCCAGGCATGTCATTATTATCTGAGGTACCCAAAATACCCTGCAAGAAAAAGGAACAGATGAAAGAGCCAGCGACCAACAACAAGCAACCAAAGCAATGACATCAGGTTTCTGTGAGTGTGCAAGAGCTCCGTACCTACCTTCCACAGCGCTTAGAAAAAGGGAAACTGCATTTTTTCTGTCCATGATCCGATCTCAAGAATCGAACATGCGCCCTCCCTCATGGGAGTTATCACGCTCAACCAAACGGCTAGGGAAGGCGAGGAAAAAGAAATGGAAAGGAAGGGGGGGGAAAAAAGGAAAAGACACTGAGTTCAAATTCCATATATATAAGGTTGTACAACAATGTTGTTCATCTGCAGCTCTTTCTTCTTTTGCCCTAATCAATGGGTTTTCCAACTTTTCCTTTTCTGGCATATATGGTTATGGGTTTTCCTTTTCTGGCCCGACCCGAGCTGTGCCCGCTGATAATAACCTACTGATGAATTATTAATAATCAATCTATAACCGATAAATTACTAAATTATTTTTTATTACTAATACATAAATCAATTTCTGGCTGTGATGGCTGATAACTTGTGGCAAGTTGATAAGGCGCATCACAAGATTCGTAGCCCCAAAAAAGTAAACCAATGTAGTGCCGAAACATGAACCAGTACATGTGTGTATAGCACTCAGTCACCTGCCTGGTGACTGAATGAATGCGGAGACGGTTCAGTATTACGGAATCTCTATAATATTAAGGCCTATTGTCTCAAACAGAAAAACAGTTGGGGGGAAAAAAGAAGAAAAAAGGGCTCAGATTGGTCAAGCAGGTCAGCTTTCAATTTGGTGCATAGATTAGATCAGGTCTATCTACCATAAAGCCGCAACGGAAGCGAAGGAGTCCCACAATACATGAGCAAGAAAGAAAAACAGAGAGAGACAGAGAGGAGGGGGGTGAGAGAGAGGGACTCTGGTGACAATTGAACACATACCAAACCCAGGGCAAAAGAAAGGATAAAAAAAAAAGAAAAAAATCGACAACCCTCCTTGTTCAATGCTTTGCAAAACTGATACCAGGCTTTGAGGAGATACAGGGCATGACGGCTCTCGGCAAAAGGCAAGCTCTCTGTCTCACTTACAAAAGCGAAATCGCCAGGCTTCGTCAGCCTGGAGGTCCTCTCCAGCAATGAACAGTCTTCTTCTAGTCGTTCACCCGCTTGAGCCTCTTCCTCTGACTCTCTTTCCATTGGCCTGTGCTTGGCAATGCCCTGACACAAAGAAGGAGAGGTGTGGTGTGTATCAGCAAAAAAAAGGCTCCTGTTTCAGCCTGCCCTGCAAGGCCAGCCTCCTCTGTCGAAAAGCGGCTGCCCTGCAGCCCAAGGATCAGTCAGCCTGCAGCAAATCATCTACGTCATCAATTGCCCTGCCCCAATGAGGGCATACTCACACAAGGACTTTTTTTCACTTCTCTGGGGACGTAATTTGCGGTCGGGTTCATCTAGCCAATGCCAGAAAAGCGGTCGTGTACATCCAGGAAAGCCCTAGTGTGAGTAGGCCCTGATCTTCGCACTGCCCCACAAACCTGCCAGCTCTGTTCACAGGCCTGCTTGCAGAAGGTCCAGCAATGAGCCTACACTCCACTTCTCTGCTCAAGGCTCTTCTCCAGAGGGGCCTGCCACCCACCAGCTCTGTCAACAACCGCAATTACAGCCCAAGGGATCACTCCAGTTGCTGTCACAACACAATTGCAGCCCAGATTGTATATAGCCCCCATTGTAGCCCACATTGTACGTAGCCCCCATTGCAGCCCACATTTGTATGTAGACCCCATTGCAGCCCACATTGTATATC